TGACATTAAACTGGATAGATACCTAGATCCTGGTAAATCGTGGACACGATATGGCCATTTTTTATGCAAAGAAATGCGTTTGTGGCCAGCCATTTGGATTAATTTTTTTTGGCGGGAGATGTTATGATAGATCACAATGTGCTCTATAATCCGTTCCCCCCGTCTCTATGGCGGTTCATTGACTCCAAAAACATATGTATAGAGACCAAGATCATGGTACTTGTGCGCATCTTACAGTGATTTATGAGACAAAACTGTGTTTTGTGGTGGCCCATTTTGAATTTTCAACTTTTGACGGGAGATATATCGTATGAATTTGACAAGAGTTTATTGCATTCTTTGGACTTCAAAAACCATAGGTATAGAACGCCAAGATCATGATAATCGGGGCACTTACAGCTGATTTATGGGCAAACTGTTTTTTGGTGGCCATTTTTTAATTTTTTGATTTTTTGGCGGGCAACGTCTGGAGTTGCATCCGTGTTTCCCCAATTTTTGAAATTCAGGCATACTTAAAACCCCCTAGAGCAAATTTTCATTGCTTCTTTCCAGTAAGTGCCACTTTAGTAAAAAAATGTCCACATATCGCGGCCCCACTACAATAAATGGATATTGCTTAGTAATTCTAGTTACACGGTTAATAGCTACTGTGAGATGTTATTGTATAATAGTTGTAGTTACCTTGTAAAGAGCCTTAATGTTTTGTTAACAAATTATCGATGAGTAATTGTCGTTACCTCTGTCATGTCCACCTGAGTGACGACAGTCTGCAGCGGCATCGCCAGGTACTCGCTCGTCACCTGGTAGACCTGTATGCCGAGGAAGACGGTGGCAGCAAGCACGAGCGCCGCCCACACGACCCTCCTTACAGGATGCCTCCTGCCATCGCAGCAGTACTTCACTCCGATAGCACTGATTTCTACGTCGATGCTGGTCTCTTTAAGCTTCACCTCCACCTGCTTCGCCACCTCTTTCTCCTCCTCTTCCTTCTCCTCTACCTTGATGGAGGAAACGTAGCGACTTCGGGATGTGGAGGAATCGGGTGCTGCGTGGGGAGGTTGCGGACTTGACATCGCCGACGGGTGGTGGGTAACGTGACAATTCCATGCGCTGTCAAGTAGCTCCATAATTGGCACACCTGGATGATAGTAACACACCTGGATATGAGTTGGTAACGCACCTGGATAATGGCTAACACACCTGTATGCATGGTAACGCACCCTGTATGATGCGTAAACACACCTGCTATGATGGTAACGCCACATGTATGATGTAACCATTAGTATGATTCGGTAACACACCTGATGATGGTAAACCACCTGTATGATGTAACACACCTGTGATTATGTAACACACCTGTATGATGCGTAACACCTTGATGATGACAACGTTGATGGTAACACACCTGTATGATAGTAACACACCTGTATGATTGGTAACACACCTGTATGATGATAACAACCTGTATGATCGGTACAACACACCTGTATGAATGGTAACGCCCTGTATATGATGGTAACACACCATGTATACACTGTAACACACCTGATATAGATGGCAACACACCTGTTATGATGGTAACGCCCCTGTATGATGGTAACGCACCGGATAATGGTAACCACACCATGTATGATGGTAACACACCTGTATGATGGTAAACGCACCTGTATGATCGTAACACACCTGTATGATAGGTAACGCACTTGTACTGATGGTAACGCACCTGTATTGATGGGAACGCACCTGTATGATAGGTAAACACACCTGATATAATTGCTAACACATCATAGGATAATGTAACACACCTGTATGATGGTAAACACACTTGTATGATGCGTAACACACCTGTATATGGGAACGCACCCTGTGATGATGTAACACACCTGTATGATTGTAACACATCTGGATAATCGGCTAAACACACCTGATATGATCAGGATAACACAGCCTGTATAATTGGTAAACACACCTGGATGATGCGTAACACCTGTATGATGCTAACCACACCTGTATGATTGTAACCATCTGGACTGATCGGTAACACACCTGGTTATGATTAGTAACACACCATGATAATGGCAACACACCTGTATGATGGTACGCACCTGTATTGGATGGTAACACACCTGATATGATGGTAACACACCTGTATGATGTAACACACCTGTATGACTGTAACACACCTGGATGATGGATAACACAACCTGATATGATGGTAAACACACCTGATTGAATGGATTCAACCACACCTGATAATGATGGTTAACACACAGTGTATGATGCGGTAAACACACCTGTATGATGATAACCACACCTGGATTGATGATAACACACTTTATGCATGATGGTAACGCACCTGCATGATGGTAACGCACCTGTATGATGGTAACACTACCTGTATGATGGTAACACACCTGTATGATGGTAACACACCTGTATGATGGTAACACACCTGGATGAATGGTAGCACACCTGATTAATAAGCACACCTGGATAATGACAATTATTCTACATGCGACGGATGATGTAGGGTTGGTAGTTATGCTGCGTACTACTGAAGTTGTAGAGAAGGTACTGATCGCACACTCTAACCTGTGTCGTGCGTGACAACCAAACTGCGCCCATATCGGGCTCCCCATGTATTTGTGTGTATTTTTAATGGCTAATAACGCATGGCAAACGCTGGCCAAATGAATACCGAATTCAATGGCATATCCGAATGTCAACAGAAGCGCTAACTGCAATATTTGCGTTCGACGCCTGCACTAGTCGATGCTACAGCTCTCCCGCGCGAACACCGCCTGCATGTTTGTTGTTACATAGGTAGCCGCCGCGCACTCAGCGCTCGACGTCCAAATATAGCGCGTCGCAATTCAAAAACAACATCATTGCTTGTGTCGCCAATTATAAGCTGTCTGGTGGATTGTTAAGTGCATCATATACAGAGCCATTACGCGCCCATTGTCCGACGCATCATTATTTGTTATGTCATCATTAGTCTGAAATGTCACAATCGCTGAAGAGTCGTCAAGAAGTTATGACATTTACGATAGTCATGTATTTACGTTGCTGGGGTCATGTGCTCATCATATCGACACTGTGTATCCAAACTCTTACCGACTAGTCATGTATTACCGGGGTTGATAGATGCTCTGCTTTATTACGGCCGGTGTTAGGAATAAGGAAATATTATATCGGGGATGGGAATACAAACCACAGCCTTACATTATCGGGCTGGTTGCTACTGGAGAAGGGCGCAGGGAAGGGGAGGCAGGGCATAATAAGAGATTCATGTCTTCTCACATTATTGGTGTAGTATCGAAAAATCGGTACGTTTGTAAAGCTGATGATAACATCAGGGGTTAATAATGACATATTTGTCATTATTACCCCTGATAATATCTATGCAAGTGTGTGTGTGTGTGTGTGTGTGTGTGTGTGTGTGTGTGTGCGCGCGTGTGTGTGCGTGCGTGAGTGCGTGTGTGCGTGCGCGCGTGTGTGTGTGTGCGTGAGGGAGTGCGTGTGTGTGTGTGCGCGCGCGCGTGTGTGCGTGAGTGAGTGCGTGCATGCGCGACGGTGCGTGCGTGCGTTCGTGCGCGCACGTGTACATCTAATATATATTTTAATTTATATAGCGTGTATCAGTTATTGATTACAATAAAGCAAATAAATAAAAAAACGGAAGCGGAGTTTAGTAAGAAATACGGAACCGAAAACGCGACTCTCCTCCATGTGGACGTCCCCACGGACCAACTAGAAGATGATGTACTAGTTGTTATCGACTGATGCACATGAGATGTCGTTTAGAAAATTATGGTAGTAAATTCTGTATGATTACGTTCAAAAAAAACTTTCTCGTTAGTTAAAGCATATTTTTGACTGCCTCGTATCTAGTACTAAGTAATATGATAAACCGAGCACATTTTCAACGTTACTCATTCCTTTTTGTCTATAGTCGTTTTATACGTTCTTCGTGTATGGAGTTAGATCGCTTAATTTGAAACCACCAGATTAACAACGCAACAATGGCTGCCGTGAACACACAGCACTGAGTACCGCTAGTGACACACACACACACACACACACACACACACACACACACACACACACACACACACACACACACACACACACACACACACAACACTACGCGCAATGAGATTTTAAATGCCACACAAACATCTATATATGCTCTATAATACATAATAAGTATAGAATATATAATAATAGATAATATAATTTATGTAATCTATTATTATACACTCCTGATGTTATGTCTATACCTTCAATGAACTTTGATCACTTTTTATTTTTTAATTGACAGAAGATTTTTATCAAATATTCTGAGTGCAAAGTAAACATACAGAATTGAAATAGTATAGAAATACTTGAATACATGTATTACTACGTGTCTTATTACTTACTAAGTTTACTACATAGATAAAAATGAAATATTCGTGCATTTCAACGGTAATGAATCTACTGTAGATGTATTAGTAAGTATTTCACTAGTTACCCTGCATTCCTGAAGATATTATATAGAGTCTTTGTTTCATACGTATATGCATAGTTATAGTAGTCAACTCGTCGTTACAAAAGTATTCTAATTGTTTATTCAATCAACATTCAATTTGTTATTCTTGTAGTATCTAGACTTTTTTCCTGTGGTACATTCGTTACAGGGGCCTTTGAGAAGACAAAGGACGTGTACGGCCGTCTAGATATCGTCATGAACAACGCAGGAATCGCAGACGAAACAAATGTTCAGCGCATGATCAGCATTAACCTGGTTTGTAAACCGGTTGTAAATCACGAAACCTATAACGTCACCTATCTGAGTCCGTCCATGGTGATAGAAAACACACTTTCCCTTACCTATACGACCATCGTTAATCGTCATTGGCCAAGCCCAAGCCAAAGTAGGACAACTCGATAAGCAATGCACGGTCCGGAATGCTCCTGGGTTCATAGTCACAGTCGTGCGCAGGTGTGTTCGCAGGTTCAGGTGTGACTTTTACTATTTACACCTAGCGTTGCGTCGGACGAGTGTTGATTGATGACCCACGTCTTAAGCTGTACACTCACACTTACCTATAGTTGACGTAGAAGCATGAAGGTGGAAGGGAAGGTCGCGCTGGTGACGGGAGGAGCTAGAGGCATCGGTAAGGGAGTGTGTGAACTGCTACTGGAGAAGGGCGCCAAGGTAAGGGGAAGCAGGGAGACACCGCGATAGCGCTGGCAAGAATATATAGACCAACGTCTCTCATATCAGGAGCAGTCCACTGTGTGCCTTCCAATTTATGTCTCCGTCACATATTTTACACTTACGTATCTGCCTATATATATTATATCCTAAATACGACATACAATAGTCATTTTAATTCACATAGGGTATATCAATTGTTGATTACAATAAAGTAAATGGAGAGAAAACGGAAGCGGAGTTTTCTAAGAAATACGGAACTGGAAAGGCGACTTTCCTCCATGCAGACGTCACCACGGACCAACTAGAAGGTGTAGTTATTATCGAATGATGCGCATTGTTGATGGTATTTGAAATAGATCGATCAAAGTAAATTTACCCTCTTTATACCTGACGTAGTTACATTATGCATGTCTTTAGTAATCAATTATCCATCACTTTAGTTTTCGAATTATCATTTTTGAAGAGTACACATACATGAGGTATATACATTACCTCACGCATTAATTTTGCATATTTCATGTGCTAAGAAGATGAATTCGTGCATACCAGACTTACATTCGTTACAGACGCCTTTAAGAAGACAAAGGACGTGTACGGCCGTCTAGATATCGTCATGAACAACGCAGGAATCGCAGACGAAACAAATCTTCAGCGCATGATCAGCATTAACCTGGTTTGTAAACCAGACAAGAAATTCCGAGACCTATGACGTCACCTGTCTGATCCCGTCCTTAAGGCCCATTCACACCAGAGCTACGCTCATCACGATCGCCCCACGCTCCAAAAATTGGCCCGAGCGTGGTGAGCGTGCCCAGCCGGGCCCAGCGCCGATACTACGATCTAATTACGTCGATACTACGATCTAAGTGCGTCTTTACCCCGATCTCATTGCGCTCAACAAGCTTTCACCACGCTCAACACCACGCCCGCATCACGCTTGCACTGCGCTTACTGCGTCTTTATTGCGACCAATCAGATCGCATTGCGTTCGAAAGACGCTTGCACTGCGCCTAAGCAACGCTCACCGCGCCTCAACTGCGCGCCAGTCCCGCTCCTAGTGCGAATTAATCACGCTCTAGGCAGGCGCCGACTGCGCTGGCAACGACCATATAAATACCGCGCCGCGTTCTAGACATCATCATTCGTTCTGCCGGGCTGTTCACATCAAGATTATTTTCTACTGATTTTATACCCATAACAGTATCAGGAGTCTATCAATATATCTATTGATAGACTCCTGATAGTATAATAGTATGCTACAACTATGCCGCCAAAAGTCTTCTATTTCTCCTCCTCATCCTCCTCAGCATGATGAGGGCTTGGCAATCAAGTAATTCGAGTTGTCCTTCTACGAGAAACATGGCATGGGGTAGTGTTGCCTCATCCATAGTGGACACTGGTGGGCTGGCCAGGGTAGCACTCCAATTTATACCCCAAATTCGCATGACGTGATCTGAGCGTAACTAACACGTAATGCGAACGCCACAACGGCGTGGTCTGGGCGTGTTGGGCGTAGTACAATCGTAGTACGAACGGGTCGAGCTTGCTAGAGACGCACCATGGTCATAGCGAGAGCGTGGTCAGGTCGCAGAGACATCTCCATGGACGTAGTAACAGCGTGATGAAAACGTATTGACATCGTGCTGAGAACGGGGCGACAATTTTCACGCACCCGACACGCTTGCGATACGATCATTAAGTTCGTACTACGATCGAGTTACGTGGGTACTACGCCTTCCACGTCTCTAATACGCCCGCACTGCGCTGTCTTTCTGCCACGCTCGCACCACGATTGTTTTGAACATGTTCAAAGTTTGGCCACGCTCTCCACGCTCATGGTGACTGCACCGCGCTCGATCGCGATTGCAGTACGTCTATATACGTTCATACTGCGTTCTACACGTTTCCACCACGCTCTTAGAGCGTAGTACGAGCGTATTGAGATCGGGGCCCTGGTGTGAATGGGGTATTGGTAAGACACACACACACAAACACACGCGCCACGCCCATACATGACGAAGTGAAATACAACTTTGCGGACGACGAAGCTGAAAAGAGAGCGATTGATTTCTAAAGTCGAGCACGAGAGATTGTTGGATTTCGTGAGTACAGTACAGCCAGTATATTTCCCGAATTGCTAAAGAGAAAGAGAGCACTGCTCTAGTAGTAGTAGTAGCAGCAGCAATATCATCAGCAGCAGCAGTAGTAGTAGCAGCAGCAGCAATATCATCATCAGCAGCAGCCAGCAAGCAGCAGCAGCAGCAGCAGCAGCAGCAGCAGGAGCAGCAGCAGCAGGAGCAGCAAGCAGCAGCAGCAGCAGCAGCAGCAGCAGCAGGAAGCAGCAGCAGCAGGAGCAGCAGCAGCAGCAGCAGCAGCAGCAGCAGCAGGAGCGCAGCAGCAGCAGCAGGAGCAGCAGGCAGCAGCAGCAGCAGAGCAGCAAGCAGCAGCAGGAGCAGGCAGCAAGCAGAATCGTAGCGGCGTGGGCAGTGCTATCTGGCATGGTAGTAGTTACGTAGTCGTAGTAGTAGTCGTAGTAGTAGTGGTAGTAGGCGTGGTAGTGGTAATAGGTGTGGTAGTAGTAATGGGCGTGGTAGTGGTAGTGGTAGAGGTAGCAGTAGTGGTAGAGGTAGCGGTAGTAGTAGTGGTAGTAGGTGTGGTTGTGATAGTAGTCGTATAAGTGGTCGTAGCAGTAGTAGTGGTAGTAGTTGTAGAAGTGGTAGTAGTAGTAGTTGTAAGTAGTATAGTATAGTAGTAGTAGTAGTAGTAGTAGTAG